CCCCTTGGGTTTAGTCATTTCTTTCTTCAGCTCTTTGTATTGCTTCAAGGAATCTCTGAAGGGCTGGTTTTGTGGACATGAATTCTTTCACCGTATTTATCATGGAAGATTTTTCTTTCCCCTTCAACTATGATAGACATTTTGGCTGGGTAAAGTAATCTGGGTTGGCATCTGTGGTCATTTAGAACTGAGAATACTTTCGTCCAGGCTCTTCTGACTTTCATCATTTGCACTGAAAAATCAGTTGTAATCCTGATGGGTTTTCCTTTATATGTGACTTGTTTTTCTTTTGCAGCTTTCAGTATTGTCTCTTTGTTCTGAACGTTTAGTGTTTTTACTATGATGTGCCATGGAGAGTTTCTTTTCTGGTCCTGTCTGTTTGGTGTTCTGTATTCTTGTATTGGTATGGGCATGTCTTTTTTTTTAATTTGGGGAAATTTTCTTCTGCAATCCTGTTGATGATCTGTTCCATACCATTATCTTGAGATTTTTCTCTTTCCTTAGATTTTTTATGGGGTTACACAATTCTTGCATACTCCATTCTTGTATTTTCTTAAATTTTTCATAATCTTTGCTTGAGTGGTCTAATTCATCCACTTTATCTTCCAGTCTTGATATTCTGTGTTCCATTTCATTCATCCCATTGGTGAGGCTTTGTCCTGTCATTTCTAATTGGCTTACTGAGTGTTTTACTTCCTTCTTCATTTCAGCCTGAGTATTCGTCAATATTTCTTTTTTCTGAATTCATTCAGAAGTTTATCCATATCTTCCTTCAGTTCTTTGCCTATCTTCGTTCAGTTCTTTGATTTCTTTGTGTATTCTTTAAATTCATTGAATTCTTTTATCATGTTTATAATTGTTCTTTTGAGTTCCATGTCCTGTGTTATCTCTAGGGAGTTCTCATTATACTCCTCTAGAGGACTATTGGTACTTGTTGGAGATATATTATTTTGGCTTTTCATGTTATTATTTTTCCTCTGTGACTTTGACATGTGAATTTTCTTCATAATTTCTGATTCTTGCATGAGACTCAACCTTCCTTTGTTGAGTTTAGATCTGCTTCTTTTTGCAAACTTTATGTGCCTTTGTGGTTTACTTGTTGGGCGTGAAAAGCTGGTTGGTCTAGGCTTCAGGTTCTCTCTTTTGATTTTATATTGGAGTGGCCTAATTCCTTTTGTCTTCAGAAGTTCCCAGAAAGACTCAAGTGAGATGAGGCTCAGATGCTCTCAGGCTTTCTCCTAAAGTCTGGGACCTTCCAAGAAAGATGCTGCCCTCAGGAATTTGGGGGCTGGGCTGGCCTGGGAGAAGGGCCCAGGATAGATGCTGATCTCAGGAAGCTGGAGGCTGTGCCACCCAGGGAAGTAAAGGGAGGTGAGGGCGGGACCAGGCACAGAGGACTCCTGGGGGCCACAGGGAGGATCTGGGTTAGTCTGGATGCAAAGGATCAGGAAGCAGTGGTGGCTCTGGGCCAAGAGGCTCACCCCGTGTCTGGGGTGCCAAGACAAGAAATGGGCTTGTACCCAGGCTAGGAGGAGAGACTGGGCAGGGGAGCTGGAAGGGTGAAAGAAGCTGGGGGAGTCAAGGCGCAGTGGGTGCACTGGACTTACCCAGGGAATGAACAACTTTTTAGTGGTTGCTCTAGAATATGTGATATTGTACATATCATACATCTTTGACTTTATGCTGGACTTGTAAAGTGATTTACCACTGAATAGCTTGTAGATTTTTTTTTTGCACCTGGGGATGTGATTGCTTCTTACACCAACTTTCACCTAGTGCTCTTGTGCTTCTCTTTTGAATCTTTCATCTCTAAGAACTTCATTTCTAAAATTTTAATCTTTTACCTTAAAAACTCCTGAACTTTTATAATATCTGTTATATAAGTTTGGGTTGCTTCTCAATTTTTTCCATTACAAGCTCTGGATTTCTTAATCAATTGGGACTTCTTAATCAGTTGTGAGTAAATGGTGATTTCCCCCCTCCTTTTGAATCTATACCTTAAGTGCCTTCATTTTTATTTTGGTGGCATTTTAAGAGGGAAAGAGTAATAGTGTGTTTAAATTTCCATCTTCACTTGGAACCAGGAAAAAGTTATACACTTAAAATTTTAAATATGTTCATATAGGAAACACAAATGATAGTTCTCTTTGTCTTCTGATATATTCTAGGATGAAATCCCCACTGGAATGCCATGCCTTGAGTCACTGACCATACGTGATAACATTTGGGATGAGAACTGGCTGCCTCTACAGGCTAAAATGGGAAAAAGAGGTGATGCTGCTTCTCATCAATTTATTTCAAGTCTTGTTGGGAAGAAACAGTATCCATCATGTGGAGAAATGACCCAGAAGGTTAGAGTCTTGGAATAACAAATAGCAAATCACTGTTGACAAAGGAAATTTTAATTTAATTGTCCATGTCTCTAGACAGCTACACATGCTGGGATTCGAAAGGATTTGTCAGGCCATAGTTCAAAAGAATATATGATTTGCTGTTGCTAAGAGGCCAGAGCATATAGCAGAGGGGAATAAACCACAGTCTGCATATTTGCCCTTTCTAATATTACTTCTGTCTTATCATTGATGCCTAATCAAAGCTTTAGCATCTGTAGAATTAAATTATTTCCCTTAATTTTATTTGTGTTGTATTAGCCTATAATATAGCCTTGGGGTTTCTTCAGTCAGGATGTTTTCCTCTTTTTTTATATAATTACTTTTTGAGAGCTGGTTAGTTTTTTTATTATTTTATTTTATGTGTAAGAGTTCATAGTCTGTGGGTGTGTAAGTGCACCCATGTTGTGCAATGCCCAAGGACAACAGAAGAGGACATCAGATCCGCTGGAACTGGAGTCATAGACAGTTGTTCACTGCCATTGAGTGCTGGGACTCAAACCCAGGTCCTCTGCAAGAACAGCCAGTGCTCTTAATCACTGAACCATCTCTCCAGCCCATGTTAGGGTGTTTTTCAGTATTGACCCTAACTACACATTTGAAATTTATTCACCACTGTTTACGAGAAAGAAGAAATACCTGCAGTTAGGTATTTATGTCTTTTAGATACTAGATGATCATGAAAAATCTAGCCAGGAGAGTGGAATAACTACTACAGTGTTGTATTTATTTTTATGAGACTCAAGTATTCAAGATATTGGGTACAGACCAATAAAGCATAGAGGAAAGTCGCACTAATACAAAAAAGTTTCAAATCCCTTTTTCTGTTTAAAATGTATTGCTTCCTTGCCTTTACTTTGTTACCTTGTTTTGAGATCCTGTATCATGATGTCTTATTTTTTATTGCTGCATTTTTTTTCTTTATAGGATTGGTGTCTTTCTACACCTAAAGATACATGGGATGATTCATGGCAGGCTTTAAGCCCTGTGAATGAAGAAAAAGTAGAAATTCAGACATCAGAAGGGCTCAGTGCTCAAGAAAAAAATACTGGCACAACCAGAATTCGAAAGGTAAGTGTAAGTGTCTAACTAGCATTATTGTGACAATTTTACATGACTAAGCACTTTCTTTTTAAAAACATATTTATTTTATTTTATGTGTATGAGTGTTATACCTGTATGTAGGTAAGTGCACCCATGTCGTGTAATGCCCTCAGAGAAGAGAAGAGGCTGTTGGATCCCCTGGAACTGGAGTTATGGGCAGTTGTTAGCTGTCATGTGGGTGCTGGGATTCGAACCCAGGTCTTCTGTAAGAACATTCAGTGTTCTTAACCGCTGAGCCATCTCTCCAGCCCTGAACACTTTCATTCTTAGAAAGTAAAACTATAGTTAATGATCCCTTCTTAGCATTTGGTAAAATTCATATGCATAAAAATGTATGTTTATCTTAAATTGAACTTTAACTAATTTAATATAGTGAACCATTTCTTCAAATGAAAATCAGTGGCACATGCCTGTAATCCTAGAAAACTTGTGAGGAAGAGGCAGGAGGGTCACTGCAAGTTCAAGGCCAGCCACTGCCAGCACTATATAATGAGATCCTGTCTTATGAAAGATCGAAAAGGCTGGAGAGATGGCTTAGCAGGTAAGGGCACTGGCTGCTCTTCCAGATGACCTGGGTTCCGTTCCCAGCACCCACATGGTGGCTAACAACCATCCAAAACTCCAGTTCCAGGGGATCTGACACCCTCTTCTGACCTCCATGGACATTGCACAGCATGGGTACACTTACCTACACACAGCCAATATACTCATACACATAAAAATAGTAAATTTTAAAAAAGACAAAAAAGGAAAAGAGAACCCTGAGCCTAGACTAAAAAGTGAATAAACCTCTGTTAGGAAGTAGAGAAAAATTGGCATTTCTTATAATTTAGCCATAAATTTTAACCTTTATATCTATCTTATATTCCAGATTAATTTCTTCCATGTTGCTTTGTCAGAATGAAGTAACCCTGGCAAAAATACATTTGTTTCCTGTTCCCCAGATATTTCAAGCATCTTTTTATTGAATTTTTTTGATTTTCATACAATAATAATGAATTCTGGTGAGAGTTAAGAGATGCATTCATCCTAAGTATAGAGGTTGTATTGAAGATGTGTCACTAAGAGAGAAGTGTCTCACAGATACTCATTTTCTGTTTGACCAGTTCTGGAATTTTGTAATAGTCTCCATCTATTGCAAAAAGAAGCTTCTTTGATGAGGGGTGTAAGTACATTTGTCTGCAAATATGAGAATGCATATTTAGAATAAAGTAAGAAATTGTGTTGGTCTAGGGATGTGGCAAAGTGGGTTTTATTCCAAGAATCTTAAATAGCAGGACAATTTCAGCATTTCTTCTTAACCATATTACTCACGATTATTTAAAGTTGCTTTCAAATAATTTGAATACTACTTTTCACCACTACCACCCTCCCCATTTGATTAAGGAATGGGGAGAAAGAGCATATTCCATGATTTTTTCAAAGTTTTCATATTATTTTAATTTTTATTGAGCTTAATCAAATTTAGAGCTCCTCCCTCATCCATGCATGCTCCCACCCCCCACCGCTGGACTGCATGCACTCCTCCATACATGTTAAGTCCTATTCTGTCAAGCATTTGTATCCAGATGTCCTTGGGTGTAAAGGAGCCAGGGTTGGTCATGAACACAGGGAAGCAGAGACTTTCAGGCCACTGGAAGCTTGCACATGTGACCTTGTGGCAACTGAGGCATCAAGCACAAGACCCAGGCCAACTCAACCAGACAAGGGCCCAGAGTGGAGAGAGGGAAATGGTTGGTGGGCCTGCCCAAGCCTAGGAACTGTTGATGACTGATTACTACTGGGTGAGGGAAAGTAGACCTTACTTTCGATCGCTAGATATTCCATGATTTTGAGGGGAGGAGTGCTGAGACAGAATCTTGGGTTGCTAAGTTTGACCTTGAACTCACAGCTTCAGTATTAAGTGTTGGGATTACACATATGAGCTAGTATCTCTGACTTTCTTATTTTTTTAAAAAATCTAATGTTAGGGGGCTAGAGAGATGGCTCACTGGTTAAGAGTACTGACTGCTCTTGCAGGGGACCTGGGTTCGATTCCCAGCACTCATGTGGTGGCTAACAACCATTCCTAACTCCAATTCCAAGGGATCTGAAGCCCTCTTCTGACCTCCATGGGCATTGCATGACATAGGTACACTTACATACATGCAGGCAGTATACTCATACAGATAAAAATAATAAAATATTTTTAAAATTTAGTGTTAGATATTATGCTAGAGGCTCTGAGTTATCTTCCTCCAAGGAAGGTCAGGATGTTTGACTAGCAGATACTTTATGATACACACTTAGGCTTAGTTTTGGGCTTTATTAGGATGCTCTTGTTCTAGTTTCCTTTCTGTTAATGAAAGGGGGAAAAAAGGGTTTATTTGACTTATACTTCCAGGTCACAATCCATCGCTAAGGGAAGTCAGGGCAGGAACTTGAGGCAGGAACCATGGAGGAATGCTGCTTGCTGGCTCACTCATGCTTAGCTAACTTTTTTATACTGCCCAGGACCACCTATCTAGGCATGGTGGTATCCACAGTGGTCTGGACCCTCAATGAAGGCTGTCCTCTTAGGTGAATCTAGGCTGTGTCAACAATGATAGCTAACTAGGACAGCTATAGTTCACATTTGTCCTTGCTCCTTATTCCTTGTGGCTCTTCTAAGGCCTATCATTTGACATACCAACTGAAAGCCTGGAGACTTTGTTCTTTACCTTGATGAGGTTCAGACTCCATCCTCTCTCTTAGTACCACAAGCTGCTGGAGTCT